GCTCATTTGAGGCAACGAGCTGACCGATCCTACTGGGAGGTGACTGAACATCACTTGGCATGGGCAGTCAAGGTTACTTCCAAGCAACGACATGCCAAGTCAGAGACTTGGTGGAGTTCATGAGGTCATTGAACGATAAATGATCTTGCGGATCGGAATTCCCTCGAATGCTCGCATGTTGGGCATTTTGAATTTGACGGGAGAGAGTATGAACATGCTGAAGAAAAGGGAGACGCCTCTGTGACCTGCCCTTGCTCTTTTGTTGAGCTTTGAGTTGATCCAAGCTCGCTGTAGTTCTTTAATTTGAGGTAGCGGAGCTATCTGGGGATTACCTTCTGCAACGTGGGTTGTTGTGGTTGCGGTTGGGAGGGGACCGCAAATCAGCTTCTCCTTAGCTCGGTCGGAAGCTCTGGCCAATCTTGACACACACTGGCTGGAGCCGTGTGATGACATCAAGTGGTTTGGGGAGTCTTCTCAACCTCTACGGTGGTATGAACCGACCGTGGGTGATGGGAATCTACACGACGACCCTCGAAGTCATCATTTTGGCGGAATTGGGAATCTCCCTGCCTTACACTTTTGTGGGAGTGCCCGTGCGAGTGGCGTGGGACGGCTCTTGTTGTGACAGTTGCCAAGTCGCAATGCACTGGTATTATGCCCATGACGCGATCGGTGTTCGCTAGTCATTCGGAACCTTTGGTCCACTGGGCACCACTCTTTCCTTTTCTCTGACGTGCTGCATGCGCGGGATATGGGCTTTCGCCCTTCTCCACGCTTTCGCGTGACCTCTAGGCATTTTTGGCGGTGGCACTGCCTCGTGGATTCGGGTGGCACGACTCGATCTAATCGGTCAGCCTTGGTCGATCGTTTGGAGAGTATATTGAACCTCTCCAGGTAACTCATGACGGTTGGATAAGCCGTGAGCTTGAAGGATATCCCCTATGATATTTTGCTGGGTAGGCGACAATTCGAGAGGAGTGTCCTCTGTACTGGGGATCTCTTTATTGTTATAGTTGGTTCGCTCAGATTTGAAAAGCGAGCCATTGCTGTGGTGGGACCGGTTAGTTAGAGATTTTCTTGTGAAGAGCAGATACTAGATAAGCCTTCTTCTAACGTCAAACTGTTGATGCTTGATTTTGACACCAACTATTCGCACGTGCGAAATGCTAAAGAGAGTTAGAAGTCACACGTGATATGATGGTATTGAATTTAATAAAAGGTGAAAGACAATGTTTACAGTGGTTCGGATGCTCAAAAGCGAATCCAACGTCCACTGATATTGTATTAATGAGAGAATAAGGCCAGGTCGCGTTCAGTGAGCTGACTTACAACTTGGAGCAAATAAAAGAGAGAATACCAAAGAGAAAAAGAGAGTAAGCTACTTTTAGAGTAAGATTAACCAGTCCCGCAAATGAGAGGGGAGACCTCTATTTATAGTGGGATATACCAAAGTAATGATTATTAAATCTGCAAGTGGGTGGGTACCGTGTAAATCCTTCTCTGCGTCCCATTGCTCACCTGTCCGAGTGATTTTCTCGACTTGTGCAGGGTTTGGATACGTGGACGATTTCCAGCCATCTGCTAGCCTGTCACTCACCCACTGCACTAACAAGGGCGTGCCACTCACGCCATTATGCGACGTGGCTGCGTTTGAGCGGTCGTAGAACCTTCTTAAGTTCTGACCACCCCATGCTGACAAGACTTCACGTTAGCCCTACCTTTTCAAGCATAACAAAAAGCTTGCTTTATGTTATGCATTTTTGAATTGTCTGTAATAACAAGGAGTAGATCTATTTTGATTTTCTGATGAGCGTTTCAATTTTTTTTTGTTATAAAAACATTGAGTCTAATGAAGAATTTTTGGAAAATGGGTGATGTGGTGTTAAATAATGTACAGATAATGTATTGAGTGCTGTCTTTAACATGTGAATTTTTGGCAGATTACAAATGAGGAGAGACTTGACATTCCGCTTCTTATGGCGCAGAGGCAAAGAATCCTAGAACATACAAGTAATCTTGAAACTTTTGTTTTAACCCTTGTTCCGAGTGTTGATCTTGAGAGGCCATTGCGACTAGCCCAAATAGCTATCGGGGTTGTCTCTTCTCCTGCCAAAGGCGATAAATCAGTTGAAAACTGTTCTATTTGTTGCGAGGACAAGCCGTCTCCAATGATGATTACAGTGAAATGCTCCCACAAGTTTTGTTCTCATTGAAAATGAAGGACGGGTGTCCATTCATAAAAAATAGACCCCCGTATATTTAATATGGATAATAATCTATTGTTATTTCGATATAATAATTAGTTCAAACTAATAGATGACCATCTATTTGTAATAAATAGTCGTCCATCTGGACTAACATTCATATTAGTTAGACGACTTAGACGACTGTTCATTCAGCGATGATGTGTGATCGCACCAACATGACCGGATGCCATGTATGTCGTACATCATTTGGTGATATTAACGGTGTCAGAAAATTATTGGCTACGTTGCATCCTATTCATTAAAAAAAAGGAAATTATTTCTGAACTTACGGAGGATGAACTGTAATATGTCAGAACTTATATTATAATATGTTTCAATGGGTTGTGTGATGTGATATCGTTTACAGCTGGAAGCTTTAAATTAATGACTTTTATAACTCTAATCATGCAGCTTAATTATAGGACTATAGTATAATAGTATTAGTATGTGTCAAGTTATTCTTTATTGATTAATTGTGTGATTAAATAATTAATCATGGGCTGTTCAAATAATATTTCAGTGACAGATATATACATCTACCGACCAAAATATTTTAAGGTTTTCATCTTAATTCTCTAGAGTGAATTAATTTTTGTTATATTTTTATCTCCTCCAAAGTCGTCTTTTATTAATGGATAATATTCTACTTATAACTTAATTTTACCAACTTTTTTTCACAATTTCAATATATCTGTTTAGAATTAATTAACTCACAAATTTGTCCGTCTATCCTTAATTCTGTCATTACTCTTATAATCGCCATCAACAAACGGTTGAGTTATTTTTCTGTCATATTGCCACTGCTTCACTTGACTCTCTTCTTCTCATCTACCTTATTTCTAAGTTTTCTTCTCTCTCATCACCTCAAATACTTTAAACACAAACCTAAATCTTTTTTTTTTTTTTTTTTTTTTGTGATCATAGATGTTTGAGTTAGTTTGTATGTATCTCAACTAATCTTTTAGGGTTCCAAAATTGATAGTCAAATAAATCTTCTCAACAATTACCCTTATTAATAACCTAAATAAATCAAATTTTGGACCTTTTAAATTATATACTAAAAAATTTTAGTTGACCGCTATCTAGCAAAGGGTGGTTATTAACCACCAACCAGATTCCTTGATTTTTTTCTGCTCTTACATTCTCTTATTTCTGGTTTACTATGTTAAAAAAAAAAAAAAAAAATTGAAAACTTTTCAATTTGATCGGATCAATCCAATTACGTACTCTTTCTTTTTTCTATGTCCCACCTAGGGGTGCATACGAGACGAGCCGAGCCGAGCCGAGTAGTGGCTGGCTCTAGCTCGGCTCGAATGTATTAGGAGCAAGCTCGAGCTCGAGCACCTAGGGGTGCATACGAGTCGAGTAGTGGTTGGCTCTAGCTCAGCTCGAATGTATTAGGAGCAGGCTCGAGCTCGAGCTCGAGCTTTGGCGGCTTGTTTAAAAAAATAAACGGCTCGAGCTCGGCTCGGCTATTTATAAGGATTTAACAAAACGACGTCGTTTTGAACCCACCTACTTCTTCTTCTTCTTCCACTGCCCCTCCCACTAACTTTTCAGTCAAATCTGCTGAGACCAAAATCCAACTCCTCATCTCCACCCAGTCATAATCTTTAGTCGATCTACATCATGAGGAAACTACTCACCACCACCGGAGTCCACCCCAGCGTCATCACACTCGTCAGATCTCAGCTTTACCTCCGACCTCCTCCATGCGACACCTGTGTCATTCGTCAGATCTCTGTTTTCGGCGAGCTGAAACCTTACCGATCTCTGTTTTTCTCAGATCTCTGAATACGCGAACTGAAACCTTACTGATCGATCTTACGAGCTCTCCTACTCGAATAACGTCTCGAGTGATTCGAACAACTCGCTAACAGTTCAAATTGAGCCTAAAAAGCTCGATATTTTTTACGAACTTAAAGTTGAGCTCGAACATGTGAAATACTTGTTCTCCGACTAATCGAGTCTGAGCTCGTCACGAGTCGAATTCGGTTCGACAGCACCCCTAGACTCCCACCGATACGATATTTAATTTATGAGTATAATCGGTTCAATCAAGGAAATTAAAGATTATTTAAAATCTGGTGGATTCAATCTAAGAAATTGTTATAATATTAATTTCTAGGTCTTTTGTTTTCTTCCTCCTTTAATATTTGGACTTAAATGGATGTTCACGTGGTGGGTCTCCACCGTAATCAATTATTCACAGTAAATTACTTTAAAATCAATTGGTTGATGTTCACTGTATTCTCTCTCCTTCTTCTGTTTTCTTCTTATCTCAATCTTTTAGAAATCACTCAAAAACACTTTCATTCAAAAAACTCTCTCACCCTTCAGATACCCACTAAAAGTACTTCTACTCTGAAACCAGATCGCTTGATTTTTCAGTTCTCTCCTGTTCCCTTATTTCTTGTTTACCAAAGAGAATCCTTTCCAATTTTCTTATCTTTCGTTTAGAAAAAAGAACAAAAAGATTTTCTTTATTTCAGCATTTTTTCGCCTAACTTTATTTGAGTTTGCCGTTGTCCTGTTACTTTCTGTGTTTTATTTTCTTCTTCTCTTTTCCCTTTTCCATATTTCTCGTTTGTACAAAAAAAATAAAAATAAAAAAATAAAAAAAATAAAAGGATATTTCAGCATTTTCCCTAACTCTTGTTCTGTTATTTGAGTTTGCACCTGTTATTGTCGCTGTTTTAATTTTTCTATTTCTCAAACCTGGGAAAGAAGTGAAGAAGGAAAAAAAGTTTGAAAATGGTAGAACGTGCCTCGAGTATTGCGGGTTCGGCGAGTGCTGTTCTCGATGCGGTCAAGTGCTCTGATGCTCCGTTTGGGTGTCATTTCAAGTACTTGTACAACTACAACAAGAACTTCAAAAATCTCGAAATAAAAGTTGCAAAGCTGAAGGATAGAAGATTGGATGTGCAGGCTAAAGTTATTGTTGCTGAAAGAAAAGCGGAAGAGATCATACAGAATGTTAAGGACTGGCTGAATGATGTGGAGAAGACCATTGCTGAAGCAGAGATGTTGATTAAAGAGAAAGAAAACAACCCTCGATGTTTCAGGGGATTGTGTCCCAACTGGATCACCGGCTACAAACATAGCAAGAAAGCATTCAAGTTAAAGGAGAATGATGTCGGTCAACTCCTATATACGAAATTCAATTGTGTTTCCTATCTTCCTATTCTACCAGGGATCTGGCTTAAATCTACAGAAGATTATTTGGCTTTCGAATCAAGGACCTCCACTGTGAAGAATGTTTGGGATGCATTGCATGATGATAATATTTACATGATCGGGGTTTATGGGATGGGTGGTATTGGAAAGACCACGCTTGTGAAGGAAGTTGGTCGGAAAGCCAAGATCGATCAGCTCTTTGATGAGATCGCTTTCATAGAGGTAATTTTAAACCAAGCAGAAAATTTAGTTTAATTTTACAGGACAATTTAGACCCTTATTTAGAGTAAATAAGTATTAGTATTGAATTTATATGGTTATCATTATTTGAATGGAATTAATTAGACTTTAATTTCTATATAAGAATGTATGTTTCCGTTTATATTATGAAGATTTAAGCAGTCAATAAAATATGGGTACTTTAAAACAAAGTAGTTATCAATTTATAGAATTTTATTCACTGTTATTGTATTTACTTTATCTTGTAGTTCTTGACTTAGCCATATTTTTTTGTGTTACAGGTAACAGAAACTCCGGATGTAAAAAAGATTCAAACAGAAATTGCTGTCAAGTTAGGACTAATATTCAATAACGAGAGGGAAAGAGCAAGTAAGTTATATGCAAGATTGAGGAACGGTAAGAAGATCCTTTTAATTTTAGACAATATCTGGAAAGATCTTGATTTGAGAACTGTTGGAATTCCTTCGGGAGTTGATCGTGGTGGATGTAAGCTGCTGCTAACAACAAGAAACCTAGATGTGTTGGAGAGGATGGGTTCGATAAATAATTTTGGGATGAGTGTTTTAAATGAAGAAGAAGCCTGGACACTATTTAGGAAGATGGCAGGTAATTATGTTATAGAATTTTCACTTGTATGTTTTCACTATTTTTTTCACTTATTCATATATATTATAGTTAAGTGATGGTTTTTTTATTTGGAATTAAGTGGAGTTTTTTTAGATATTAAAAAAAAATGATGGTTTTATTTAGAAAAGAGCCCAGTAAGATATTAGTTGGAGGAAAATAACTACACTTGGAAAATCTCTTGTTCTTAAATTCAACGCATGTGAATGGAAAATGCAATTAGTTTAATCCTAGCCTTCCTGTGCAGGTGAAGTTATTCAAACACGTGAATTGTATTCCTTACCGAATGATGTATGCAAGGAATGTGGAGGTTTGCCCATTGCCATTGCTACTGTTGCAAGAGCATTAAAGAATAAGAGACATGAATCTTTATGGAAAGATGCCTTGCGAGAATTAAGAGCACCGTCACCGACAAAGTGCACGGGATTTTTGGAAAGGGAATACCGGACGATTGCCTTGAGTTACAATTATTTAAGATCTGATGAGCTCAAGAAATTTTTTTTAATTTCTAGTCTAATGAAAAATAATTCTTCCATTTCAGACTTGCTCAAACATGTTGTGGGTTTGGATATACTTGAAGGAGCTAACTTGACAGTGGAAAATGCAAGAGATAGACTAGATAAATTGGTTTGCCAGCTCAAAGACTCTTCTTTGTTATTGGACAGTTCCAAAAGAGGACAAGTTGCTATGCATGATTTGATTCGAGATGTTGCTATTACAATTGCATATACAGAGCACCATGTATTTACGGAGAGAAATGATGTTGAAAGGGAATGGAAGGATAAAGATAAACTCAAGAAATGCACAAAAATCTCCTTAGCTGCTAGTAGTACTATTATTAGTCAGCTTTGGCCTCAAGATTTGGATTGTCCAAATCTTGAATATTTTTGTATGACTAATATGTGGAACTCTTCATTCCAAATCCCGAAGGACTTCTTCACCGTGATGCCGAAGCTTAAAGTTTTAAATTTATTTAAGATGCAGCAATCGTCATTGCCATCATCACTTGATCTTCTGACAAACCTTCAAACATTGTGTTTAGATGATAGCAAAATTAAAGATGTTGCTATTATCGGAAAGCTAAAGATGCTAAAAGTCCTTAGCTTGCGAAATTCTCGTGAAATCAAGGAGTTGCCTGAAGAATTAGGTCAATTGACTCTGTTAAAGTTTTTAGATTTGAGCAATAGTTGGGGATTGGAAGGTATTGCACCAAATGTGATATCAAAATTATCCCACTTGGAAGAATTGTATATAACGGGACACCAGATTCGGTGGACGGTTGAAATAGTTAAAGAGTTCAAGCACTTGACTCAGTTGACTACTTTAGAAGTAGACATTAAAGATGACATGGTTTTGCCTCCAGAGATTTTTAACAAAAAGAAAAAGCTTGAAAGGTACGAAATATCCATGGGAGTTTGGCCATTGTTGATTAAGGAGCATGAGTTTACACGGGTGCTGAAATTAAAACTTAATTCTACCATCTCCTTAAAAGATTTACAGACAGTCAAGAATGTTGAAGTCTTATGGTTAACTGAATTGTCAGATGATGAGAACGGTCTATATAATTCAAAAATGAGGCCACTTTTTGAAGAACAGGTTTGGTTTACATTATTTTTGTACTTCTCTATTATATATTCTCATTTGTTTACATATAGTTGTGGTATTTTTTGTTCTTCTTTGTTTGCGTATATGATTTCATTTATTTAAACTTTCAGCTAAATTTCTTTATTGAGTACTCATCTTCAATCTCTATATAGTATGTAATTTCATCAGATGGATTTCGTCAATTCATATTGGATTCCATGTAAAAATTATTAGACGTAATACAAAATTTTAACATTATAGCATGTCATTTAGAAATCCGAAAGAAACAATTTTTTTTTTTTTTAATTACTTGATATAAGAAAAGATTAAAATAACATTTAATTCTCACTGCAGGATATCTTCCCTGATTTAAAGGTCTTGGCATTGATAGATATTAATTCTGGAAATATTTGGGACAGCCAACTTCGAACTTCCTCCTATCAAAATTTGACAAACTTGAGCTTGTGGGGTTGTCCAAACATAAAATATGCATTTCCATCTTCCATAGCCGAAAGCTTCCAGCAACTTCAACAATTGGAGATAAAGAATTGTCGAAAAATAAAATATGTGTTTCCATTTTCTATTGTCAAAAGCCTCCGACGACTCCAACATCTTGTCATAGAGGATTGCCAGGTGTTAGAGGAGATTGTTGCAACAGAAGGAGTAAATGTAGTTGTCAATTTCGCCTTCGAGCATGTAACCTTGTTGAAGCTTGTAAAGCTACCACAACTTATAGCCTTCTATCCTGGAATACAAACTTTGGAATTGCCAATCTTAGAAGACTTGGTGGTGAAATATTGTGGCAAATTCGCTTCAAAATATCTAAGCTTCCCAGAGAACGATAATGAGGGTGAAATTCATATTTCAGAGCCAAAATCTCTCTTAGACAAAAAGGTATGAGTCCCTTATTTCTTTTATTGAAAAAAGAAAATTAACTTTCTTTATATATTATATAAATTTAAAACTTAAATTATGGAGTTCTTTATAACATCTTTACTTTTCCATGAAAGAAGATTTAGAAAAAAAAAAAAAAAAAAAAAAAATTAATTGATTTGGACAATTTTGTTATAGGATATTGTCAATTAAACTTATTAAAGTACTACATTTGAAAAAATAGATCATCCAATATAATTCTAAAATAATCAAAATGTTTACAATAAATCAGCAAAATGTTTTTATTTTTACTAGAAATCTATCTAGCAGTTGATCCTTCTTATTATTGGAAATATTATACACGAAAAGTTTACAACTTCAAAGCTTGCTAAATGTTATCACATCTTCAAAATTATTTTAACATGATTTGGAAGCAGAAAAGTGTAAAAAATCAGTTCAATTTGAAACAAATTATATTAGGGTAGAAGTCCATTAATTATGTACCAATTTCTTTGCAAGTAGTAATTTATACTTTTGTTATGGTAAGACGTTATCTAATGTAATATTATACACCTATATTAATCACATCCATTTGATAATGTTATAGGATATAAATGAAATGTTTTAATTACATTAAAAATTATATATATATATGTCCGAGTCCGACTTACAGTTAGGATGGGCCAATTTGGGGTCAAAATCTAAAACATCTTTTAACAAAATAGGTCATGTTTTAGAAAAATTTATATGCCGTTTAGATACAAAAAAAAAAAAAAAAAAATCATTTGAAAATGAGAAATAAATTTTTAGACAAAAAAATCTTGATATTATTTTCTATTTTCCAGAATAATGTAGTAAAAAAATCTTTAAAAAGTATGTTTAATCAGTAGCTTTTAAAAATAGTTTTTGAATGTAATTTTAATATTGATCTGAAATTTAAATTAATAATAAAATGTAANAAAAAAAAAAAAAAAAATCATTTGAAAATGAGAAATAAATTTTTAGACAAAAAAATCTTGATATTATTTTCTATTTTCCAGAATAATGTAGTAAAAAAATCTTTAAAAAGTATGTTTAATCAGTAGCTTTTAAAAATAGTTTTTGAATGTAATTTTAATATTGATCTGAAATTTAAATTAATAATAAAATGTAATTTACTGGTTTTAAAATTTATTGTTGTTGAATTATCAAAAACAATTAATTAGATTTTTTCTTTTTTTTAAATTTCCATGATAATTTGTGTTTGGCATATAAATTCTAAGCCATCATTTGAACTGTTGTTTTATTCAATGGATTTGTAGATCAGCTCTCATTTGAAGGTATTGGAATTAAAGAATAAGTTGAGATTGATTAGATGGCAGAGTCAATCTAAAACTCTTGAGATCAAATTTGATAAGTCAGCAAATATTGGAATTCCACTTGGGCTCGTTCGGAGATTTGAGAATCTGGAAGAGCTTAAACTATATGGCCATCCTTTCCACAAAGAAATATTATCATGTGGAATCACTCTAGTGCCATCCTTGGCTTCTTTCCATAATCTGAAAGTTTTGAGAGTTAAGAGTTACAATGGGTTAATGAACTTAATAACACCTTCAACAGCTAGAAGCTTAGTGCAATTGAGAGAAATGAGCATTGAAGAATGTGAAATGGTGATAGAAATAGTAGAAAATGTGCGAGATGAAACAATGAGTATTGAAATTGTTTTTCCGAAATTGAAGAAGTTGTCGCTTAGAAAGTTAGAAAGTCTCGCATGTTTTTGCTCGGCGAATTACTATTTCAAATTCCCATCTTTGGAAGAATTAATTATAGGAGAATGCCCCAATATGAAGACTTTCAGTCAAGGATTCTTAACCACACCTAACTTACCCAAAGTTAATTATAAGAGCTTAAAAAATAGATTCGACTGGGAGGAAATGGAAGTAGAGAATAAGGAGAATGACCTTAATACAACCATACAAGGATTATACAAAAAGCAGGTATGTATTCAATTAATTTAGTTTATATATTTACTTATCTCTGCAAGTTTTGTTAGTTTAGAAGAGAGACAACGCCTTAGAGACTCTCTTTTAAGTATTTTCACTTTAACTTGCGTAAAAGATAAGTTTCCAGTTTTAACCTATTTGAATGAATGACGGAGAATTAATGCAATTTTATATTATTATTTGTAAGTTTGGGCCTAGGCCTTTCAAAAATTATTAGAGTTACCTTTTTCTAGTCCATTAGAAACAATACCTTTATTTTTTTTTTAAATTACTTTATTTTGAAACAACTATTAACTTTTACTACAGGATATCTCCACTGATTTGAAGTTTTGGGAATTCAAAGATATCAATTCTATAGAGATTTTCTACAACCAACATCCAACTTCCTTCTATCAACATTTGACACATTTGATCTTATGGAACTGTGGAAACATAAAATATACGTTTCCATCTTCCATAGCCAAAAGCCTCCACCAACTCCAACACCTAAACATAAAGAATTGTGGGGTTTTAGCGGAGATTGTTGCAAAAGAAGGAGCAAAAGATGATGGCAAATTTGTCTTTCCCAATGCAACCTCATTGAAGCTTGAAAATCTACCAGAATTTGTGGCTTTCTGTCATACTTTTGAATGGCCAATGTTAAAAGAGTTGACGGTGAAAGATTGTGACAAATTCATGACTTCAAAATATCTGTGCTTTCCAGAAAACAACGAGGAGGGTGAACTTCAATTTTCAGAGCCAAAGTCCCTCTTCTTGAATGATAAGGTATGGGTCTTTAATATTTTATTGTTTATGGAAAAAGAAAATTAATTTTTTTTATTATATATATTTCATTAATTCAGAACTTAAATTGTGGAATTATGAAACGAGATCACATATTCAAAGTGATTTTAACATGATCTGGTTGCAGACAAGAGTAAAAAAAAGAACTTTATGTTTGTAGAATTACGTTATGGTAAGATATTATCTAATGTAATATTATACATCTATACCATCACAATCACATCCATCCAATAATGTTATAGTTTATAAATCACACATTTTAATTACATTAAAATTTTTAATGAAAAAAAAAAAAAAAATCTTGTCCAAAGTACAACTTATAGTTAGGATGGGTCATTTTGGAGTCAAAATCTAATACAAGTTTTAACAAAATAGGTCATGTTTTAGAAAAAAAATTACGTACCATTTAAATAAAAAAAATCATTTGAAAATTAGGAAAATTTCGTTTAATTAGTAGTTTTCAAAAATAGGTTTTGAATGTAATTTTAATATTGATTTGAAATATAAAATAATAACAAAATATATTTGCTAGTTTCAAAATATATTGTAATTGAACTATTTAAAACAGTTGATTAGATTTAAAAAAGAATAGTCTGCGAAATTTGTCTTGGTCTTTGATTTTTGAGCCAACCATTACAATTCTGTTTTAAGAATTTAAAAAACTAATTATATTTTGTTTGGATGTATCTGTAGATCAACTCTGATTTGGAAGGATTGCAGTTACAGAATATGATTAGAAATATTGCATGGCAGAGTCGTTCTAAAACTCTTGAGATATGGAATGATAAGTCAGCAAATATTCCACTTGGACTTCTTCAAAGATTTGAAAATATGAAAGAGCTCCAACTATCTTGGTGTGAATACAAAGAAATATTGTCTTACAGAAAGGATGAGAAACATACTAGGATACTCACACAGATGCAAATTAGAAGCTTCTCAATGTCATCCTCAGCTTTCCAGAATCTTAAAGTTTTGAGGGTAAGCTTTTGCAATGGGTTGATGAAGTTAATAACACCTTCAACGGCTAGAAGCTTGGTGCAGTTGAGAGAAATGAGCATAGAATTTTGTGAAATCCTGGTAGAAATAGTAGGAAATGAAGGACAAGGAGATGCAACAACAGCAACCGAAGTCGTTTTTAGCAATTTGAAGAGGTTGTCACTTAAAGATTTAAAAAGTCTCACATGCTTCTGCTTTGGAAATTACACCTTAAAATTCCCATCTTTGGAAAGCTTATTTATATCAGACTGCCCCAATATGAAGACTTTCTCCCAAGGTATCTTAAACACACCAAAGTTACACAAAGTCTATTATGAGAGGTGGAATGAATTGAAGTGGGAGAAAATGATTGTAGAGAATCAGGGGAGTGACTTTAATACAAACATACAACAAGCATACAAAAACCAGGTTTGTGTTCATGTAATTAGTTTAAATATTTGAATGTTGACCTTGAGACCACATAAAAAAGAATTGGTGTGTATAGGATTACTTCATGCACTCTCCTATATCACTTTTATACTTAAACTCCGTCTACATTTTTCTTAGAAAAATCTAAAGCTACTGTTTCATATTTCTAACAACCATTAATTCATCATTTTTTTTTTTTTAAATTGTAATTTGATTCACATGATTGATCTTTAGGTTGACTCTAATTTGGAGGAATTGAGATTGAGTGAAAAGGATATCTTGCGGATTTGGCAAGGAGAACTTCCAAAGAACTTTGGCAAAGTGAAAACTCTACAATTGACTAAGGATGAATCAACAAACATTCCAATTCGAATCCTTCACAAATTTAGCAGTCTTGAAAATCTCAACCTACAAGTGAGTTCATACGAAGAGTTACTCTCATGTGGAGAGGATGAGGAACACATTGGGACACTCACAAAATTAAAAGTTTTAGAATTGTTGGGACTTTTTGATTTAAAGTGTATTTGGAAACAAGACTCCCAATTAAACTCAATTCTTCAAAATCTTTATCATCTAGTAGTGCAATATTGTCACAATTTGACTACTCTATTGCCATCTCTAGCATCTTTTGAAAATCTAAGGACTTTGAGGGTAGAGTATTGTAATGGATTGAAAAATTTAGTGTCATTCTCAACTGCTAGGAGTCTAGTGCGACTAGAAGAGTTGAGAATAGAAGGATGTGAAGTGATGGCAGAAGTATTAGCAAATGAGGAAGATATAGAGAATGGTGAAATTGTTTTTGAGAAATTAAAATGGTTGTACTTGTATAAATTAGAAAGTCTCACATGCTTCTGCTCTGGGAAATACACCTTAAAATTCCCAAATTTGGAAAGATTATGGTGGTGTGGATGCTCCAATATGAAGGCTTTCTCTAGAGGACGCTTAAGCATGCCAGGGTTACAATACTTGAATGAGAAAGATTGTTCAAAGAGTGACCATAACACACTAATGCAACAATTACAAAATGGTACGTATTCAATATTTACTTAACAATGTACTATATCTTTAGACATTTTTTGGCTCTCCTGGCATTCACATAAATTAATAATGGTCAATCCTCATTGGTCTTATTATTGTATTTTTATTTAATTTAAAATCCTCTAAAGAAGTCAATTACAGACTATCAAGTATAGACAGACTACAATACTACAATTTATATTTGGAAGCAGGATAAAGAGTGTAGGAGTAACATTAATTAATTAGTAAATACCAAATACTATTTTTGTCCTTAAAAGTTAAAATTGAGAATTTGTGTTTCTGAAGTATTGAGGTGATTGTTGAGAAAATTCCTCATCTTCTTGTTTAATTGATAAATTATGATCATTTTAGAGATAGAAAGTAGCATTAATTCTCTACAGTTTCTGCTTTTACTATTAATGTGTTGTTTTCTATGATTACAGATTGTGGTATTACCCAGAAGAAGAGCAGAAGAAGAAGAAGAAGAAGAAGAAGAATCTTGTCTCCAAACTAAGATCTGGTAATTTTACCCCTAATTACACTATTAATCTCTCAAAATTAAGAAAGGGAGAATGATTTTTAACCCCCATCAATTTAATCAATAGCCCTTCTTCAATTTTAGTGAGTCTAAAAGTAAAAAGTATTTATATGTTTTAAAACCATCTTATATTAATTATTGAAAGGTGTTCTTAAAGAAAGATGAATCCTAACAAATAAAAAAAATCCATCAATTCAATATTTAAATAAAAATGATATGATATAAATCAAATATAAAAATGCATAGTGTAATTTGGGGTAATGTTACCCCTAATTACATATATATTTATTCTCTATAGAAGAATATAACTTTACTTATCTTTTATTCATTGAAATATTGCAAATGATTGATAACAAAACTTTTCTTTATTTATGAGAAAAGGATTATAAAAATTTGGGCCTGCGGCAATTCAAAAAAGAAAAAGAAATTGAAGTGAAAGATAAAAATAGTCGTCATTTTTATGCAAATATGAGAATTTTGCTAAGTACACCCATTCTTTTACTAAATGTCATTTACTATTAATTTTTATTACAAATTTATCCTTTAAACGGGGCAACTGATTAATTAGGTGAATGATTAATTAGGTGAAGTTTGATAATCACTTTCTCCCTTGACAACGTCTAGGATTGAATACTTTTGTCATGGTTTGTTTGTTTGTTCCTTTTTTCTATTTAATTTACAGAAGAATGGAATTGGGGGAATTTAATATTAATAAATTTAATCAACTTAAAATTTAAAATTAATATCATAAAAATCATTTCATAGAAATATTTTAAATATGATCATAAATGACATCTAACCTGATAAATTATCAAATAACTCATACTTATTCATTTATACTTACTAATAAATTAAAATATTATAAATATTACATTAAAAAGTAATAAATAATATAGTTAAATATTTAATATATTTCTCATTTAGGTTTATCATAATTATTGATATAAATAAGTTAACCTTATGAGCATGCATGCACTCTTGATCACATCCAATTTTGGTAAAATTCTTATTTTAATGGTGGATAATACTAATTTATTATCCCTTTAATTAAGCATAATTCAAATTTTCCCTCGGAAGTGTGTTTTGTTGCCTTCAGAAATTAATTTGATTAAATATACTTTGGGTATAAATTTTGAGAAATTATAAGGTTAAATATGATGTTAATTGTAGATTTAAGGTACTATTTGGTATTCTATCAGGACAAAATTAAAATGATATAAGCATATGAGGGCCTTCGTAATATTATCCAATCATTCAAAGTTATATGAAGAAAATGCAGCGATGGTGATAGCAGGTGCTACAGAGAGTTGGGCGTCTCCTTCCTTGGTGGCCAATGGCAATATGACTCCTGTCAAGTCTGCTCTAGTATCCGGCTGTGTGGCTTCAGATATGAGTGAATTTCAAATGAGCTGTATCAACCTCACGCGTCCTCTCGCTTCCGTTCTCCGTCGACGATCTCGCCTACCGCCGATGGTCTAGGTCATTTTCATCATCTCAAATACTTATCATTAAAATTAATAGAGGATGTCGTTAATAGTTGCTAATTTTTTGATTTCACAGATGAGATTGCCAGGTTGTTACCGAATCTGTTCGGCGAAATTGGTGTCAAATGATGTCGATACACTTCAAGCGGATCAGAAGTTGGAAATCGGTGTCTTTTTTTACTGGGCTCTAGGCGACAGGTGGATATAATGTGATCTCAGGAATTTTGGGTGAGGATCTATGTGAAGCTGTAGTTTTAAAACTTGGTTTGCTTGAATTGTTGTTTGAAAATGAGATTTTTGTATTTCGTTTGTAATGCTTTGTATGGATTTAGGAGAGGTACAGCAAGGATCATGAAGTGCAGATACATTGAATTGCTTCTGAATATATTTATCCGGATAGACACAAGGTATGGTTGTTTCTTTTGAGTGAAATTTATGGTTTTCATAGTATTCAAATGTGTTCGATATGCATTAATTAATGCTTGTTAGATTAATTATATTTGATGGGATTAATTAAGTTGTTAAAAGTGTAGTATCCAACAAGTTTAAATTGTATTACAATTTGTGCAATTATATTTTGGTAGTGTATTGATATGGAAATAAAATGTTTATATACATTGTTAAGTGTTAACAGGGTTGTTTTTGTTGGATTTTTAGTGAGTTATGACCCAACAAGAGGAGAGGTGTTCAGGCATGGACTCAATGTATATTCAAAGCCTGTCTTCTCATATAGTCTTTTTCCTTTCTAAAGCCTTTTGTTTTTTGGTTGTTTTTCATTTTGGTCACCGCCACTTTGTAGTGCATAAAACTAGAAATGCCAATGCATGTCAGATAGTGATCTTATATATTCATAGATATTGGTACAAATGTTTAAAGTTTTTGTTCTGCATGGTTGGGGGCTTTGATGTGTAGTGGTAGTGAAACCTTTTAGGGTATGTAAAAATTTAGCATATAAGTGTTTCTCTTGGTTATTTTTAAGAATATGTGTCCTATATCATTGAAGTTTAAGGATCTTCATTAACTATTGGAATTGACTACTGTATGAATTTATGACTGGGTAAGGCTGACCTTGACTAGGATAGCAGAGTTTTTGGTTATTAAGAAACTACAAGTTTGTGAATTGACTACTGAGTGTAGTGAGGATGAAGATGTTGAAGGAGAGCAATGTCATGATTATAATTTTGGATTATTGCCAACAGGTAATTCTGTCCGGCTTGTTTCTTCATTTTTATCATACTTCTCAACAGTGGCAATAAGGAGTTATGGGTAAAAATCTGATAAAGATGAATAGAGTACAACTGATGAAAATATGATGGGTAGAAGCAAGAAAATCATAAAGTTTTCGGGATACACATGATTGTAAGATTGTTAAATTAAAGGGGACTAATGGCATGCTTGAATATGCTGTAAGTGCGTGATTCAGATTTTAATAGAAAGAAATATATAAATCAATTAATAAGTTTATGTCTTATTTATCGTAGTATAAGTCTCTGGGTGTCTGGTTGCAATTTTTTTATGTTTCTTGCAAGCCATCAGTCAATGAAGTTTGTAGTTCAAAATATTTTTGAACTTCAGCACCTTGGTCCTACATGGATTCTTTTGAACAAACCCTTTTTAGTGGATGCTCAATTTTACTATATGTGCTCATAGGTGTCTGAAGTTCAAACTTCTGCCACTAATATATTGATTTGTTGTTTTCGGGATTTGTACTCGATCCAGAGATATGCAGCCGACTTGCCTTGGGAGAGAAAAGAGAACTGGTCTATGACATTGCTCAATATGGCCAAAAAATGCCAGAGAGATTCTTAGCTCAGCTAGCCGCAGGGAGCTTCTTGAAATCTGGGTTTGCTAAATTTCCAATGATATAGCATCTACAAAAGTTGGTTCTCAAACTCACCAATTAAAATTTGGTTGTATTTGTTTCAATTACTTATTGTGCATGCTGTTAGACTTTCATTCTCCAATAACATCAATTTAAATTTTCTTCCATCTCCTATCAAACAATTTGTTGATATGAAAATAAATCTGCTTCATTATAGAACAGATTTAGTTTATCTTATTTCATCTTTGTCTTCAAAAAAATCTCATTTCTGTTTCAGAATGTGATTAGGGAATCTTTTTACATTTAAATGTTGACTTCATTATCCTTAATCACTGAGAAAATCAGTTGAAAACTTGTTTCTTGGCTAATGTTTGAAGCAAGGAACACATACACGTTGGTATCACTTTCCGTGGATATTCAAAGATGATTTTGATAATTTCTCTATTCCTACTATTTTATATTTTCGTTATCTTGCCCCTTCATCAATGATTCGGGAACACTGTTTTAAAAACTAGACTACTGATTGACCTAGTCAAGGGGCAGATTCCTAGGTTGATAGGTCCAACTGGTTGGATCAGTTGGTCTGATCGGTATACAGCAAACACATCTCTAAACAATTCCATCAGTCCTTATTAGACCTGGCAAAACGGGTGGGTGGGCTGGGTCAAACGGGTATGGGTCCTTATACGGGTCGATCTATACGGGTCTAATATTTTGGACCCGTGTCCTACCCTATACGGGTACGGGTAGACCCGTGGGTGGACCCGTTTTTTCTCTCTCCAGATTTTAGTATCACATTTTTACCCCTAATAGTTTTTAATTATGACAATTACACCCCCAAAATTCCTACAGTTTTAATTTTTTACATTTACACCCCCTAAATCAACTACTCTAAATTCAATTCAATTAAGAATATAAACAAATATGAACCAAAATAAATAAATAACACATAAACAAACAATAACATATAATACAAAACTACAAATACCAACCAAAATAAACAAATACAAAATCACTAATACACAATTACACATAAACAAACAAAATACGTCCTAACAACTAGAAATATTAATTAAAATAAACAAAATATAATCCAATATTCAACAAATAAACTTCGTGATCTTTCAAACCTCTCAACTTATGTACATGTTATTCAGGCTAGAAAAGAGGAACCCCATCTTGCTCCACATTCTGCCATCTTACTCTCATGACGGAATGTGGTTCCAAGCATGTACCTCTTGCTAATGCGAAGAAATAACAACTAACACCAAAAATCTAAGGAACAGCGTAGTGAAAGAGGAGAAAAAATCCCACTTTCTGGCGCTCTCATGTTCAATCTTTTTTCTAGGAAAATGAAAGAAAAAACTGAAATGCTTATAGTTAATTGCATAAACATGATTTTGAAACCATTTGCTTTTAAGGATCAAAGTCGGCATATCATCACTGTCACTGTGGTGCCTTTGATTTTGAACAGCCTTTACAGATGAACTCTCGCCGAAGGCTGCTTATTGCAGCGGCAACTGCTTTATTCACTCTTTCGTCCACCTTTGCAATGTCATATGCTTTTGCAGCAGCTCGCTGTGCTTCCTGCTTAAAAGGCGAAATCTAATATTAATTAATAATTCCAACATAAACTAAAAATGTTTAAACAATTTCATCCAAGGGTCACAAGCACCAACTCAGACAGTATAATAAGTTAAAAGCCAAAAAGCACCAATATTTGTATGATCATGGCTGACAATATGTAAAGTCGTCGCAAATACTAAACAACCAATGCTCAAGTGGTTCTGTCAAGTGTAATCATGCAACAAACATGTTTCACTTTTTAACCTACTTTTAAAGCAATAGACATGAGCTACCTACAGAACATAAAGTGTAAATAAAGCTATTTGATGCTAATCCAGATCTGAATCAGCCCAATCTAAGTTTAACATAATTTTGCAGAAAACACATATTACCATAATTTAACCTCCAATTCTCAGCATGCCAAGATAAAGCAGGCATGCTTAGTATTTCTAAATATTTGAGCTAGCAAGCTAGATTCTGCATACATTGAGATTTAGAATCTAAGATACAATTTTCTGATGTTATGACAAAAAACTAATGGAAGCAATGGAATTTTAGTATTCCTTCATGTAAAAAGCTCTTCACACTTGCATTTATTTTCTAAAACTTCAAGTGTGGCTGAATAATCTTTTGTATTCCACAACATCATCATTTTCACAAGGAGGCAAAAAAAAAAAAGTTACTGGACAGCATTCAGACCTTGAAATGGTTGACAGGATAGGAGGTCCAGGATGCGTGTTTCGTGTGCTTGGAACATCAAGAACCCCATTTTGCCAGTACCACACTCTGTCTCACCACTTTTGAAAGTATACATACCAAGACCCTGCCTTCTCCCCTCATGCCAGGCCCCCTCATACCGATGTCCATTCCCAAATGATAAACTCCAAACCCGTGCATCCTGTCTGCAAAATATTCTCTTGAATATGTGTCCCCATTTCTGCATGGCAACAATGCTAGTCATTAAAACCAAAATCACAAGTAACAAGTAACAAGTTAATCTCACAAACAATTAAATAAAAAATATTAACCATTCAAACAAAAAGAAAACACAAAATCTGTCAAAAAAACAAAAACAACACAATTAGGGGTTAGGGATTCATTACCAGCCGACGGTGACGAACTGACTATTAATCGAAGATGGAGACATCGAGATAGGAGTTGATTCAGTTGAACTTCAGACGAAGAAGAATGACGAGAGATTGAGATGCGGCCGCGATAAGGTTGCTGGGAATCTGGAGTGAGAAATCAGAGATGAGATGAGAGTGAGAGATCAGAGATGTGAGAGATCAAAGATGACTGAGATGAGATGAGACTGAGAGAGAGTGAGAGGCGTGATGGCATCGTGCGTGAATGGCGAAGGCGTGAAAAATTAGGGATCAACAAAAATGAAAAAGTTCATTTCTGCAAATACGGGTGCCCGCGAGTACCCGCGGGTTCACCCGTATAAACCGTTTGTTTTTGGGCCGGGTACGGGTAGGGTCTAAAAAAAAGGGTTTAATAAATGGACCCGTACCCTATATATTTACCCGGGTACGGTCCAACCCGCGGTCAGACCCGTTTTGCCAGGTCCAGTCCTTATAAGTTTGAAAACCAGCAAATACATCCCTAAAATTTACCCATAAGTCCTATAAGTTTAAAATAAAACAAACGCGTTTTGTGTTATTATTAATTATTCCCCATCACTTTCGTCTTTCTCCTTTTTTCTTCTCCCATCACTCTTCGTCACTTTCTTTCTTCTTTCTCGAACACATTCCCGTCTCTCTACTGTAATTTTTCTCTCCTCTTTCTTTCTCTTCATCCCCTCTTCTCTTTCTTCTAGTTTCTTTCATCCCCTATTCTTCTTCCTTACTGTTCTCTCTGTCTCCTCTTCTCTTTCTTCTCTTTCCCTCCCCCTTACTTCACTTGACAGCCAAAAGGCCTTGGCCACCGCAATTTGGCCAAACGAGGTCCAAATCGGACCGGCATTCTTCCTCCTCCCTTACTTTCTTTTTTACACAGTTGTGAGAAGAATAGAAGATGAAAATGGAAGATGCAATTTGGTCTTTTTATTGAAATGAAATGGAGAAAGCTTGCTGGCTCATGAAATGGAGAATGAAACGGTGCTGCAAATTAGTTTAGGAATTAGGAATAGGATTTTTTTAGGGATCAGATTAACCCCAAAATGTGAAGTTTTAAGCCCCGAACCGGTTGGAGTCGCGATTTTGTACTATTCAACCGTCCTACCTGTTCAAAGCGGTTTAGACATTCCGGTTTGTATGTTAACCTAGGTCGGGCGTAAGGTTGGCTCTCGATTGGATTGGTCGGAGGATCGATATGTTAACCAGGCCGGAGTCAGGTTGGCTCCCGGTTGGATGATTGGACTGCGGGTCAGTCGAGTTTTAAAATAGAGCTCACGGAAATAAGCTTTTTGTACAAACAAGTATTTATGCAGTAATTAGTTCAAAATTTTAAGGGGGTGTTTGGTTGGGAGTTATCCCTTATTACTGAGATAATGTCATCTTAATTACTTAAATTACTACGTTTGTTGTCAAGTAATATAAGATTCTGATAATCTTTCAAAACCAATAGATTACTATTGGTTATATAGGTGGTAATCTGAATACCTCAATTTTCTTAAGTATTTTAAGAAACTTGGTAATGTTAATTTGTTACGATTTTATCCTTAACTATAAAAATTTTGGACAATAATGCCCTTATTTTGAATTAATTTACATGATATGCCAATTGCCATTATAATTTTACCTAATTAATTAATTTTTTGGAAGTAATATGTTTAAATTTAAAACAAATTGCAGGCCACCTAGGCCATCACGGTCGCCAATCACCACCAGTGACTGTCAACGGCCACCGTCGACTATAATCGTCCGAACAACTACAACTGGCCAGATCTGGTTGGTCGTGCAATGATTTGGCTATTTCGATCAAATTGATCGCTGAGAACGGCCAACCGTAGATCTGGCTACAACGGCTAGATCCATGGTGCACGACGACGAAAAATATCTGGCCGTTAACGACTAGATCCATGGCTATTAATGGCCACATTGGTCACGACTGGCAGTTTGGTTGGTTGTGCGTCGTTCTAGCCACTATCAGCGGCAGCCGACGTGTGGCCGACAATCATCAGTGGCTTGAGGTGGGGGGGGGTGATCTTGTTAGAAATTAAAACGTTTATATGGTTGGGGTGTTTAGCAAATATCAAATATAGGGGGTTAAACTTTTCAAAGAAATTTGGTGAGGAGAATTTCCAAAGAATTTGGACAAAGTAAAAACTTTCAATTGACTAAGGAGATTCAACAAACATTCCAGTTCAAATCCTTCAAAAAATTAGCCATCATGAAAATCTAATCTACAAGTGAGTTCATACAAAGATATATTTTCATACGGAGATTTGAGGAAACTTGGGACACTCACAAAATCAAACGTTTAAAAGTGTTTTACTTTTTAATTTAAAGCGTATTTTGAAACAAAATTCCAATTGATAGTCTAAACTCTAAAGGTACAAATTGTCACAATTTGGCTGGTATTTGATGAAGAAAGTTCAATTAGCCTCACTTTCTCAGTTAGATCTTGACCATATTCTGGTGGCTATTGACAGATTTCTAGCAAGT